ATATTGTTTGTTTATTTGGAACAATCTAGTTTGTTTATTTGGAACAATCTAGTTTGTTTATTTGGAATAATCTAGTTTGTTTGTAACATTGTGTGATACTTTAAATTGTATGTTTTGTAACAATTGTTTATTTTAATCAATGTATGATATTTAGTTGCATTTTAGTTTTATCCATATTTTTACAAATTTACAGGATTTAAATATTTACTGAAAAAATTAAAAAAAATAAAAATTTTAAAATAAAAAAAAATTCCGACGGATTTTCAGCGGAAGAGGCCGCCGGTACATTTTTTAAAAAAAAATTTTGAAAATTTTATTTAAATTAAAAAAAAATTATTACCGGCGGATATGGCCGCCGGTAAATTTTTAAAATTTTTTATTTAAATTAAAAAAAAGAAAAAATATTACCGGCTGATTTCCGGCGGATTTGGCCGCCGGTAAATTTTTAAATATTTTTTTTGGAAATCTTATTTAATTAAGTTTTTCCGGCGAGAAAATACTTCGGCGGATTTCCGCCGGAAAAATCCGCCGGAAAAGTTTTAATTTTTTTTTAATTAAGTTAAACCAAGTTTCTTAATTTTTTCCGGCGAAAGATTTTCGGCGGCCGTAGTCCGCCGGAAAAGGGAAAAATCCGCCGGAAAACTCGACAGAAAAAAAATCAGCGGTGCCCTCTTTTCCGGCGGACAAATCCGCCGGAAAACCCAATTTCCGGCGGATTTGTCCGCCGGAAAAGAGGGTAATTTTGGTAGTGATATTATTACCGGGAAAAAATTTCGAAGGCTTTTCTAGCGACAAATTTTTGAAGACCAAAATTAGCAACGAATTTCTAAAGTTTGTCTGACAACCTCTATTATAATGTTTTACAGATAGTAATTTATTGTTGACAGTCTATCAATCGGTAAGCTATCAATAATATTCAATTTTTTTTTTCAAATAATTCAAACCTCTCATATTTTAATGTATAAATTATGGATAACCTATATATAATGGACATCAAAACAGTAAAATATCATTATATTGTTAAAACTAATGCTCATACATAGGAGGGGGAGGGGAGGAATATAAGAACATATTTTTTGAAGTCCATCAATTCTGATTCCATCTCGGAAGTCTTCGTCATCAGAGCTATCTAATCTGCCCGCTCGACATCAACCTCAGCCACATACATTATATGTTTTGCCTCCAGACCAACCACATATGTTGCATGCTCTGCTTGTACTTGTCGCTCTAGCTTGCCTCTCGTGCTGCCTAATCAATTCCCATTGTCCCCTCTTCCCTCCGGTGCTTATTGGTCCTCCTCCATCTTTTTAATTCTTTTTTCTTGTAATTCAAGTACCTACAAATATTGAACATCTGAGATATGATCAGTAATATGTTGATGATGAAAATTAACCGCAATTGTTAAAGCAAAAACTTACCTTCTGTGATGGACCAACAACGTTGATAACTCTCATTTTTTAGAGTTATTTTTTATTTATTTCTTCTGTTTTTACATATATTAAATACCCAATTTCCTTGTTTTTCCCGTTTATTTTAAAAGTTTTAAAAATATAATGAAACACAAATGATGAGAATTTATTCCGAAAACCATCACTTTTAGACAGTGTCACCGCAGTGAAAAGTTTACGAATTTTTGGATATGGTTCAACTTTTGGATGATGTTTTCTTGAAGATCTTTCTATAAGATTTTCTACAGCTGGAACTGCACTAGAAAGCTGAGTTTTGGATTAAAAAGAATGTTGGATTGATCTTTACCAACAACATATTGGAAGGCTCCATTTTCCTTTGGGTAATGAAGTTCATCCTTATCCACTCCTCCCCTATATAAAGAAGCCAAGGGCTCATTTGAAGTTCATCCCTATCTAGCACACTGAGCTTAAGTCTCTTTACTTATACTCTTAAGTTATGTTTTAGCATTTAATTTTCTTGTATTAAGTTTTTAATCGTAATCTGTTGTCCACAGACTCACCATTGTGGCAACAGAGTAAAACTTAAATGAAACTTTCATTAAAATAGAACAAAAGTCTTTTGCCACAGTGGTGAGTCTGTGGACAACAAACTTTTGTTCTATTTTAATGAAAGTTTCATTTAAGTTTTACTTCTTGTCTTATATTATGCTTTCCATGTTTATTATGAGCTAATTAATTCTATGGGTGTGGGTGTGAGTTAAGATTTTTATACAATAATTAGGTGTTTTTATTCTTTACCATTTAGTAAACTTGATCATTTAAGTTAGGACTAAAACTCAATGCGGATAAGTCAATCACTTTGAAGTGTTAATATTATATCTTTGACCCAAAGATTGGTGGATTCGAAATACGGCTTAAGTGATGTACAAAGAACATGAGAAAGTCTTTGATGATTATGTAGAGATGACTTTTGTATGTATTTAGCTAAGGATCAAGCATTGGAGATTTGTATTACAAAGAGATTTGAGTATGAATTATTTTTTCTGTTTAGCTAAATCAACAAGTTTCAAAGTGGTGAAATTGGGAACTTCGTGGGATATGTTCATAAATCTTTACTTTAAAGAGATTGGAATTTTTTCAAACATCTCATAAGTTTCTAACCATTATATTGTTGTTTTTATCTTAAGGAATACTTACACCCATGTCCATCATTTATTTTATAAGTCTATTTCGTCTATTTTGACTTTTAAAGTTTTTTGTCAACAAAAACCCAACTTTTAATCACAAACCAAAACATGTTGAAGAAGTTCATTAAATTCTCCGATTCTTAGTAGTTCAATTCCTAAGAAAACTATCTCGGTATTTTACCACTATTACTTGCAAGCTCTCTTTAACATTTGGTAAACTTGGTCATTTAACTTAGGACTAAAACTCAATGCGGATAAGCCAATCACTTTGAAGTGTTAATATTAGATCTTTGACCCAGAGATGGGCGGATTCGATATACGGCTTAAGTGATGCACAAAGAACTTGAGAAAGTCTTTGATGATTATGTAGAGACGAATTTTGTATGTATTTAGCTAAGGATCAAGCATTGGAGATTTGTATTACAAAGAGATTTGAGTATGAATTTTTTTTTTCTGTTTAGCTAAATCAACAAGCTTCAGAGTGGTGAAAGTGGGAACTTTGTAGGATCTGTTCATAAATCTTTACTTTCAAGAGATTGAAATTTTTTCAAACATCTCATAAGTTTCTGACCATTATATTGTTGTTTTTATCTTAAAGAACATTTACACCCATGCCCATTATATATTTTATAAGTCTATTTCGTCTATTTTGTATTTTAGTGTTTTATGTCAACAAAAACCCAACTTTTAATCACAAACTGAAACATGCTGAAGAAGTTCATGAAATTCTTCGATTCTCAGTAGTTCAATTCCTATGAAAACGATCTCGGTATTTTACCACTCTATTACTTGCAAGCGATCATAGTGTCATTGTGCATTTGCACCACCACTTTGGGGACTTTGTGTCCACTATGTGAACACAAACGATTATGTAACTACCAATTTTTTGGCGCCATTTCCGGGGATTGGTGTGATTTTTTTATCTTGAGATATTAACTTTCATTGGAGCCTCGGTCATTCATTTCATTCGTACTTTTCGTGTTGTATGCCACAACTACAACACGGTGAACTTTTACCTCTAGTTCTTGAATTAGAAAGAACCATTATAAGACAAAGAAGAGGTAGAATAATCGGCAAAACCCTAAGTTAAACCATACCATGGAGGATAATTCACCACCACCTCCTCGGGAGTCCATGGTTAAGATTGCCGATGATAAAAGTAGAGGAATACGGGACTACGCAACTCCTGAATTCGGTCAATTGGCTGTTGGAATAGGTATGCCCGAAATGACAACAACAACTTTTGAACCAAAACTGGTAATGTTTCAAATGATTTCCGCAATGGGTCAGTTTGGGGGGTTATCGCCGAAAGATCCGCACTCTCATTTAAAATCTTTTATAGAAATGACGAATCATTTTAAATTTTCGGAGTCATACAAGAAGCCTTACACTTGACACTTTTCCTTTACACATTAAAGGATAGAGCTAGAGCATGGCTAAATTTTAACCACCAAACTCGATCCTCACTTGGAATGATTTGGGAGAAAAAATTCTAAAAAATAATTTCCTCCAACTAGGAATGTAAAAATTAGAAATGAAATTATGACGTTTCATTAAGATGAGGATGAAGCGATTTCGGATGCATGAGAGAGATTCAAGGACTTTCTATGGAAGTGTCTTCATCACGGAATCCCTCATTGTATTCAATTGAAAACATTTAATAATGGACTTTCCAGTGCCACTAAAATTATTCTTGAGGCAACATCATGTGGAGCTTTCACAGATAAAACCTTTAATGAAGGGTGTGAGATTTTGGAGAAAATTTCTAATAATAATACGGAATGGTCAAACCATCATCCTGTTGTTTCTAAATATGCCTCGGGCATTCATGAACTTGATGCCAACTCTTCTTTAAATGCAGAGATTGTTGCTTTAACTAATTTGGTTGAAAACAATTTAAACTTAAATGAGGGAAATAATTAAGTTTAATCCATAATGTCTAATCCATCTATGACCGAATCTTGTGTCTTTTGCGGTGTGGGCCATTCTTATGAATATTGCCTCGGAAACCCTGTCTTGGTAAATTATGTTGGGAGTCATGCTAGAAATAGCTAATTTTCTCCCACAAATAATTCAAATTGGAGGAATCACCCCAATTTTTCGTAGGCTGGAAATTTTGGTCTTCAAGCCCCTGGGGCAACTCAAGTCCAAAATCGACCACAAAATCCCCTAGGATATGGGCAAGGTTCTCCTCACAACTACCAAAGTGGGCAACACTCACAACCACACGTACCTAGGCAACAAAATGAATTGGAAGGTAATGGTTCACTTGAAACATTACCCAAAGGTTTTATAAACCAAACCAATGCAACGTTAAGAAGTTTCAAAATCCAACTCGGCCAATTTGCCGCCGATATCAAGAGTAGACCTTTAAGAACTTTCTCTAGTGACACAGAAACCCCTAAGGCTAAGGAGCATATCAAGCCCGTAGCGTACTAAGTAAGGATAGTTCAAGAATCTATAGCCACATAAATGAAGCCTCCGAAAAACTGACCCATCAAAACGTGGTTTCATACGCTTTTGATAGGTCAAAATTTCCAATTTTGAATCCTCCCAATGGAAAAACTCAAAATCCATCTTATGTCTAGAAAACAGTCCCTGTATCCACATCCAACACTAAACAGCTCTCAACTCAGACTTCCCATAGTAGGAAGATTGTGCCCACTCTTCAGCAGAAAAAGTCTAACCAACCAACTCCAGATTTGCAAAATTATTTTTTCCAGAAAGAATAAAAACCAAAAATGTGGATGAACAATTTAAGAAGTTTTTGGACATCTTTAAACAACTTCACATTAACATACCTTCGATAGAAGCTCCTGAGCAAATGCCAAGTTATATTAAAGTTTTTAAAGACATTTTAAATAAAAAGAGAAGGTCAAATGAATTTGAGACGGTTGCTTTGACAAACGAATGCAGCACACTCCTTACTTGCAAAATTCCTCCCAAGATTAAAGACCCGAGAAGTTTTACCATCCCATATTCTATAGGAGGAAACGAAGTAGGTCATGCGCTATGTGATTTAGGGGTGAGCATAAATCTTATGCCATTGTCAGTTTTTAACAAACTCGAAATAGGAGAAGTCCATTCAACTACCGTGACTTTACAATTGGTGGATAGGTCCATTGCTGATCCCAAGGGTAAGATAGAAGACATTTTGGTCCAAGTCGATAAATTTATCTTTCCGACCGATTTTCTAGTGTTGGATTATGAAACTGACAAAAATGTCCTAATCATTTTAGGTCGACCCTTTCTTGCAACCGGAAGAACATTAATTGATGTGCAAAAATGGGAGTTAACCATGAGTAAGTGATCAGGAAATGAAGTTCAATGTATTTAATTCTCTTAAGTTTCATGGAGAGGTTGGGGATTGTTCAACTATCTGTGCTTTAGGTGAAGATCTAGAGTTAAGTTTGATTGACTCTTCCTACAATAGTGCCATTGGGGAAATATCTGAGGACATATTGGAGGAAAAAGTTAAATTGGAAGATTTAGTTGCATTTGAACAACTTTTCTTTAAAGATTGAACTATCCAAGCCCCATCCATATAGTAAGGCTCAGAGTTAGAATTAAAGCCACTCCCTAGTCACCTTAAGTATGTTCTTATGGATAAGGAAAAATTGCCATTAATTATTTCCTCAAAATTAAGTAATGAACAAGAATTAAGGTTGATAGAAGTGTTGAAAGCTCACAAGAGATCTATAGGCTGGATCATTGCCGACATTAGGGGTATTAGTCCATCTTTTTTCCAACATAAGATAATTTTGGAAGAAAAAAGTGTTGGAAAGGTGCAACCCCAAAGGAAATTAAATCATTTATCATGAAGGAAGTCGTTAAGAAATAAAATTTGAAGTGGTTAGATACGGGTATCATATACCCCATTTCCAGTAGTGGTTAGTGAGTTCAGTACAATGTGTACCAAAGAAAGGTGGAACCACAGTTATCACCAATGACAAAACCCAGCTCATCCCTACTAGGACCATCACTGGATGGCAGATTTCCATGGATTATAGGAAATTAAATCTAGCTAAAAGTAAGGACTATATTCCTTTACCTCTCATTGATCAAATGCTGGATAGCGTGGTGGGAAAATAATTTTATTACTTTTTGGACTGATATTCGGGTTACAACCAAATTCACATTGCACCCGAGGATCAAGAGAAAACCACTTTCACTTGTCCTTTCAGAACTTTTGCCTTTCGGTGTATGTCATTTTGTCTTTGTAATGCACCAAATACTTTCCAACGTTGCATGATGTCAATTTTTTCGAACATGACTGAATATACCATGGAAGTGATTATGGATGACTTTTCAGTCATCAATACATCTTTTGAAAATTGTTTTGCCAATTTAAAGAAAAGTTTGGAGAGATGTGAGACTCATGATTTCATTTTAGATTTAAAAAAATGTCATTTTTATGGTACAATAATGAATTGTTTGGGTCATATGGTCTCTAAAAATGGTTTGGAGGTTGATAAAGCAAAAATCGAGGTCATAATGCAATTTCCTGAATCATCTTCGGTCAAAGGCATTGGTAGTTTTTTGTGACATGCAGGCTTTTACCATAAATTTATTAAGGATTTTTTAAAAATTGCAAAAGTCTTATGTAATTTTCTTCATGTTTATCAAGAATTTGAATTTACTTCTAAATGCAAAAGGCTTTTGAAACTATCAAAACAACTCTTGTCTCGGCACCTATTGTCATTGTTCCAGACTGAACCACACCCTTTGAGGTTATGTATGATGCAAATGATTGGGATGTAGGTGTCGTTTTAAGACAAAAACAAAACAAGATTCTCCACCCCTTCTACTACGCAAGTAAAACTTTGATAGAAGCCCAATTTGTAATAACCGGATCCTGGTTATTACCCAAGGTAAATTTATACGTGAATATTTGACTAAATGATTTTCGTGATAGCATGATAATTTGTTACATGCCGGTATGTAAATCGATATTTGGATATATATATATATATAACATATATATATATAAATATATTAATGTGAAAGTGCATGAATGTGCAAGGTGTGTGTGTAGGTATGTATGCATATGTGTGTATTTGGTGTTGAGGTGGCAAGAAGGGGGGGGAGGCAGTAGCCGACCTTCCCCATTTTTGTATATATATAAGGGGGGGGGGGGGTTTTACCCCATTCAGGGGTTTTCTACTTTTCTTTGAGAAAATTTGAGAGGAAATTAGAGAGTGTTGTCCGGATTAGCTTCAAGAGGTGATTTCGAGTGCTGGATTTAAAAAGGGTTGATTTCAAGAGTTTTGGATTCAAAAGCTTTTTAAGGTGAGTGGTTTCTAAATCTTTTGCATAAAAATTTA